CTTTCTTTTTAAGAAACCTAAGAAGGAACCAACTCCTTCCACCTCTAATGAAAAACATCCGACAGCATCCTGGACGTATAGCCATGCCTGCTGCACTGCATCCAAGACGAAACCAGAGCAGGGAATCATGGCTCCCCGCTGTGGAATAGAGGATATTACTCTCTTTGGGCAAGAAGGATCCGGAACAATGCTCTCTTTTTACCAGCCTTCCCCGAGGCAGACTCAGAGCCTAAGGTCCGCACCAGCTGACCCAAACACAGCTGTTTCCCAACAGTGGTGAAAAACAAACTGCTGCACCACAACCTCAAAGTCTGAGATATGGACTATTGCACACTTGTTTTGCACTAATCTTAACACAGACCATTTATTTATCTTTTTTAAATTGTATCTGACTAAAAAAAGGGATGCTTCCAAAAAAACATTTTGTTTTATGCTGTACATTGACAATAAAACTTCTTTTTCTTTTAATTTTCCCATGATGCAACAGAAAAATCCCTTTTTGAGCCAATGCAATAAGAAACAGACACAGCAGTGATTCTGTAAAAACAGCTGCGTTAGTACTGGTCTAACTTGTGTCCTTACAGAAAATAAAGTGTTGACCTCTCATCATTCTAGCATTTAGCAGTTAGTATTTTTGGTCACTCGTTATTAGAGAACACCAGAGAAAAAATCAGGATCATGAAGAAGAAGGAGGAACCCTGCAGACGCATCGTGTTGAATTTCTTTAAAAACTGTTTAGACTAAAATATAGTTAGGTTAAAATGACATAGTCAATGATGTAATCTAATTAAAACTTGTGGTAGGACTCTACATTTGTTGCTTATGGACGCTCTCCAATCCAGCTTACATCTCAAGACAGCACAGAGGGAAGACCTGCTGCTGCAAAACAGGACAAAACATGTTTTTGTGTTGGGATGGGGGGGTGCGACAGAAGGAATGCAAATAAACACTGCGGATGTTTTAATGTTTATGATTTTTCTATGAAAGCCTACGTCGATTTTCTTTATTTTGATTGATAGATGTGTGAATCTAAGCTGCAAACAAGAACTAAAACCACAGCAAACCGCTAGAGGTCGCTGCTTCCCACAGAATCACAGCTGAGCTTTGAGGAAGTTCTCTGTTTACTAAACACTTTCAGCCATAAAGCAATTTAAAACACACATTTAACAGATTACTGCTTAGAAGGTCATCAAAAAACAAACAATGCATCCAAATTCCTTTGTATACATTTTTATATACGTATTTTACTGCAATATAAAAGTCATCTAAAATCAGAGTACCATAATTACAAACCTGAAATAGGTTTGTTTTTCAGTTTTAAAACATTCCTTTAAGCTGACGGTAAAAAAAAAGGTCTTTCCAGTTATTTTATTCCACATAAACGGATGGAAAAAGGTGACATTATGGAGGAATTCTATTGCATGCATAAAGCTGCACCTGTCATGACTGCACTTTTCTGTTCTGTTTAATTTTTCTTTATAGTTTTCGGTTATACTTTTTATTCTTGTCTTTCTGTGTTTTTGAGTTCATTGGGTTCATTTACATTTTGTGTTATTCTAGTTGTTTTTAGTTATATTTTTGTGTGCTTTGTATTTCTTCAGTTACTCTCTGTTGCTCCCTTGAGTTTGTTTCCTTTCCCCTTGGCTCCCTTCTAGCTGCTTCCATCCACACCTGCTCCCAATCAGCTCATTAGTCCATTCTTTGTTCTGTCTCCCGTATATACTCTCCCTGTGCAGTTCCTCAGGGCTGGTTCCTCGTCTTTCCTTGGCTCCTCATGTGTGTTTTTCCCTGATCTCCCCTAGATCCTGACTTTCTGTGTTTGTATTTTGGATATTTTTCCCT